AACCTGTACTAGGGTTAACCGTAGTATCTACACTTGTCCCCTTTTGCGCAACTTTCATTTGAAGATATCTAGCTTTATCTCTAGGGTGTTTCTTTATGTGTCTAAGTCAAACTATCCGTACCGCTACGGTCTCCAGTAAATTTATGAACTAGTTGAGACCCACAAGTTTTACACTTAGCCTTATTTTGTTCTCTTAGTTGAGTAAAAAAATATCAAACAAGAGATGTTTCGGGCCATTTAGAAGGTTGTCTATTAAAAGTAGGGGTTACTACAGAAGGGTCAGGCGGGACATCAGTTGGGTTATTAACAGGACTAATAGGGTTATTAACAGGACTAGCAGGTGTATCATCTAAATCCGGTTGCGTTTCATCTAAATCATCATTTTCCTCATTAGTTTCAAAGATAGTTTCATTAGGATAAAGAGCATTCATAACTTATTCATTTAATTGTTGACTCGGTGCAACATCATGGCAAAATTGACTATCGGAAAATTGAAAACAAGGATAATCACTATCAAGAATAATGGGTGGAGGAGGACGGGTAACAGGTCTGGGTCGGGGAGCCGGGGGAAGAGTAGTAGCTTGGCGACTAGATTCACCAATTTTAGATTTTCCCTTACCCTTACCACCAAAAGTATTTTTCAAAGAAAATGTCATATTAATTATAATTATACTAAATAAAACTAACAAAACTATAATATTAAAACTTAAGAATTGGAATACGTTTACCGAATTGACGAACAACTTCTTGAAAATTGAATATCGTTGAAGACTTGAAGACTTGAATACTTCAATTCACCAACTTCACAATTTTTCATGAAATTGTAATAATAAAGCAAACAATTATAGAAGAAAATTAGAGAGAGATTGAGAGAGATTGATGAATTTGTGAGTAAAAATGAAAGAATGGGGGGTATTTATAGTTGAGAATTGGAAAAAAGTTTAATTATAAAAAGTTTGGGGTTAAAGCAAAGTTTGGGGGCCAAATGGCTATTTTTTAAAGTGGCCAACGGATAAATTTTGAAGGCCAATGGCTAGATTTTAAAAATCTGACCGTTGGTCTTTTCTAAAAAAATTTTTTTTTTTAAAAAAATTAGTCGTTGCAGCCCGTTAGGCCCGTTGGGCCCGGTTGAACCGGCCCAGGCCCGCCTGCCAGTCCTGGGCTTAACGATCCCGGGCTCACGGGCTAAATGTGTTGAACCGGCCCACCATGGGCTTTTACACCACTAGAGCCCATGCCCGATTGAACCGGCCCGTTTGGCCCGCGGTCTTGGGCCGGTCCCGGGCCAGGCTCGGGCCACAATACAGCCTTAGTTTGGACTTTGGTGGGGGGCTTACTTTTTGTGGACAAAACAATACTGTTATTTCTGTTGTATAACCTATCTTATTGTACAAATTCTGATTCACTGTATATTGTGCTAACTTGTGGGGCTATGGAAATTGACACTATCTGGTCACAGACTTATTGGCTTGACCGTCTTACTTACCTTTTATTCATCAGTCTGTTAGGTTCTGTTTTTAAGACCTTTATGGTCCTATTCTTCCCCGAACTCCGCGCATAGCGAGAGTTAGTGCACTAGGCTATTTTTGTTTAAAGTTTTTTGTATTAACGATACAAAAATAGGACTATTAAAATGTTTCTTTATTTTTTTCGAGTGACTTTTTTGTGATTACTTTGACAATATAAAGTGTAATTTTTTTATTATAAAAAATAATTTAGTAACTTTCATGGTACTAATAAGGTAAATTTGAGCAACTTTTTCATTACAAAAATAGTGAAGTGATTTTGGTACAACAAAATAAAATTTGGAGGGACCAAACTAACCTTATAAAAAGTATTTATACAATTCTTTATCAAGTAATTATTCTTTTCGGTAAATAAGAATTTTATTACCAAGTAGCAATATTTACAACTCATCTAAACTATTATAAAATTTGCCTAGCATATCACCAACTGGACATGAAACCCCAGTTAGATGATATCTAGCATTCACTTCTTCTATAACTCCATCAACTTCCACTACTATGTTCTATTCTAACTAATTTTCGGATGCCAATTCAAAGTAGTCATCACCTTATCTAGATAAGGGAACCTTGCTGCCCTTATGTGCACTTCCTGGATAATATGATTGATTAAAGAATTGGTTGTCCTTCTCTTCTTCTGAAAAATCACAAAATTCCTCTCCCGCCAACGATGATACACTGCTGCTGCTAGTGTCATTCTGTATATAGCTGCTCTTGCACTCTTGCCTTTAGTTATCTTCACCATCCATGTAATGTCTTCCTTCCAGTTATGGTGTGATCTTTGAATCCCTTGCCATCTCAGCAAACCATTCCATATTTTCCCTGTAAACTCACACTTGAAGAATATATGCTGCATTGTCTTATTTTCCTTATTACACAGAGAGCATGTTTGATCTATAGCTACCCCCATTTTGCCAGCCTATCATTGGTAGCTAGCCGCTGTTGTATTGCTAGTCTCAATATGAATATCCACTTTGGCTATCCTTGGTTATTGCACACTAGTTTCCTCCATGTTACTTTTTGAAATACACCTTGTAATGATCTGTATAGTCCCCTGATTGAGTATTTCTCCATTTACTGAACATCATCTTCATTAATTCCAGCCTTTATAAAATATTCCTTAGCTTGAAATAACTTCTGAATTGCCTAGGAAGCATTATTTGGTTCTATACTCTACACTGCTATGCCTTTGACATAGTAAGTGTGTACCTAATGCACCCATAGCTTCTACTTCATAGTACATATATTCCATAGAAATTTGCAAATAGCAGCTTCATTCCATAGTGCCACATCAATAAAATTCAATCCCCCTACAAACTTAGGTGAGCAAAGTCTTTCCCAAGCTATCAAGGCATTCTTAGTTGGTTCAGCATCTCCTGTCCACAGAAACCTTCTACAGATGATCTCTATGAACTGTATAACTTTCTTGGGCAGTATAAAGATCTGTGCCCAAAATATTTGTATAGCAAACAGTACACTCTTCACTAGGACTGCTTTACCTGCATATGACAAATACTTTGTTGCCCAGTTCTGAATTCTATGCAACATTTTCTCAATTAGTGGCACACATTGTATAGCAGATAGTCTCTTAGTACTCATTGGAACCCCTAGATATCTAAAAGGAAATTCTCCCTTTTTATAACCAAGAATCTCCTTAATTTGTTGCTGAGTCGACTGATTCACTCCTCCAAAATTGATGCAGCTCTTATTTAGATTAGCAACCAGTCCTAAGGCTGCAGAGAATTTCTGGAAAAGCTGATACAGTATCTGCACAGATTGCACATCACCTCTACAAAACAATAATAAATCATCTGCAAACCCCAGTTGCACTAAGTTAAACCTGGCACACCTGGGATGATATTGAAACTTCTTGTCTTCCTTCAGAGTCTTCAATGACCTGCTCAGGTATTCTATAGTCAAAACAAATAAGAAAGGTGACAGTGGATCACCCTGCCTGAGCCCCTTCTTTGCCTCAAAAGGATCTGTTGGTCTACCATTTATTAGAACTGAATAAGTCACCGTACTGATGCAAGCCATTATCCATCTCACAATGATTTCTGAAAAATTCAATGACCTTAACACTTATTCTATGTACATACACTCCACAGAGTCATATGCTTTTTGCATGTCAATTTTAAGCATAAATCTATGGGAGATACTCTTCCTTCCATAACCTTTCACTAGTTCATGACTCATCAAAATGTTATCTATGATCAGCCTTCCAGGTACAAAAGCAGCTTGACAATTATCTACCAGTCTATCCATCACCCCTTGCATTTTGTAGTTATCACTTTATAGATAAGCTTATATAGAATTGTACAACAAGAAATAGGTCTAAAGTATCTTATGTTTGTTGGATTCTGGATTTTTGGAATCAGTGTGATTGTTGTGCAATTAATGACTTTACACATTTCTGCACTCTCAAAGAAATCTTGAACTGCTGTAGTTATTTCCTCTCCCACAATGTGCCATACCTTCTTAAAGAAGTAGGAGTTATACCCATCACACCCTGGTGCCTTGTTATCATCGATGCCCAATAAAGCTTGCTTCACTTCTTTCCTGCTGACTGGTCTGATTAACTGTAGTTGTTGACTCCTATTCAACACATTATCATTCTTCATTATGTCATAGTTGATCATTGGTAGCTGTGTAGCTGAACTACCAAGTAACCCCTATAAAAATTTAAATTTTTTGCCTTCACCTCTTCAGGATTTTGCACTATATCCCCATTACTATCAATTAGCCTGCCAATGTTGTTCCTTGCTTGTCTATTTTTCATACAAGCATGATAAAAAACTGTATTAGAATCTCCCAAATTAAGCCACTGCACTCTGGACTTCTGCTTCATAATACTCTCCTCCACCATTAGCCATTTCTCCAGCTCCAATTTAGTAGTTCTTTCCAATTCAACCTGCATTTCTCCTTGGTCAGGACAACTCATTTGGTTCTGCATACTTTCTAATCTTTCTCTAGCATTTTGTATCTTACTATCAATGCTAGTGAACTCCTCTTTATTCATCTGCTTCAGTAACACTTTTAACTTCTTAAGTTTGTTCCACACTGTCAACATTGTTTGTCTGCTCTTCCCAAGCTCCCAACCAATCTGGACTGTACCTTCAAAAGACTTCAAGTTTATCAGACAATTCAAAAACTTGAAAGGTTTCCCTCCAACTTGGCTACTTGTATCAAACTTCACACTTAGAGGGCAATGATCAGAGAATCCCGGGTTCATAGACACCCCCTCCATATTAGGCCAAATTTGTATCCATTCAACATTTACCATAATTCTATCAATCCTACTGTACACATGGTTATTAGTCCATGTGTATTGTCTTCCCACTGTCTTCAATTCATCTACTTTAGCATCCACTAAAAATTATTTAAATTCCCTTGTCTCTATCTCCTTCACAGGACTACCATTGAATCTATATTCACTGGTTAGAATTGTATTGAAGTCCCCCATTATAAGGCAATGGCTCCTTATATTGACCACTGATATTAGCATCTCCTACCATAGATTCTTCGAGTCCTACACTGTATGCTTACCATAGACAGCACATAGGTGAAACTGAACATTCTGCTGCAATATTGTTACTTTTCCCAAAATAAATTGTTCATGATGTCTAGTCATTGTATAGTCCACCAATGTAGAATCTCATGTAACCCATATTCTACCCCTAAGAGCCTCATCATAGTTATCCACCCATTTCCAGTTTTTCAGAGCCTTCCTTAACACAAAGTCAGCATTACTTTGCTTCACTCTATGCTCAATTATGGCTATCAATACTACATTATTAATTCTGCAATTTTTTTATTTCTTTTTGTTTTTACACCTTATTCAGATCCCTTACATTCCTTGCAATAAAGTTCATCATGATATAATAGATAAAATTGAAGATCCACCCCTATCTTCCTTGTTATGTTTTTCTTTTGCACCTTGAGCTTCAGACATTTGAACAATTTTTTGGGTAGTAATAACCAGAGCTTTGAAAGCATTGCCAATATCCACTTCCTTCTCCCTTATCACATCTGTGTGCTTCTTAGTTACAGATCTTCCTCGAGCTATTTTCCATTGTGTTTCAACCTCTGAGTTACTATTTTGTATAGTTGCTTCTTCCTCCAATTGTTCATTAAATCTCCCTTGTGCATCAATTTTGTCAACCTTAGGATCAAGTGCTCTAACTTTTCTCCAGTCCCGCTTTTGCTTCCCTTCAACATTTTTCCTCGCTTCATCCTGTCTCAGCTTCCTTTGATCCTTACATGTATGGCCAAGTTGTTAGCATTTCTAGCAGTATAATGGTTTCCAGTCATAGTGTACTAGTTGTTCCAACACCTTCCTTTTGGATCACATAGCTTAATCTTCTCTGGTAATGGTCTAGTAACGTCCATCTCTATTAAAATTCTTGCATATGAAATTCTCTCAGCAATCGTTGTACAAGTATCAGCATATATTGGTTTCCCCAAACCACTTCCTATCTTACTTAACGCTTGATTACTCCAAAGGTTAAGTGATAGATTTGGAAGCTTGATTCACAAGGGCATAGTCCTCAGAACTTCTTTATTAAAATTAAAATTCTCCGACCATTACCTCATGATAACTGGCTTATTGTTAATTGTATAAGGACCATTCATTAGCACCATCTCATTCTCTTCATTAGTACTAAGCAGGACTATGAAATATCCATCATTATGAAGTAACACCTTAGATTTATGCACACTTGCCCATTGATTAGTGATGAACCTTTCAATGGCTCCGATTGAAGGTGTATTCCCCATCACATACAATATTACGGCTCTATTTCATTTTACATTTTCCTCTTCAATGTCTTTCTCCATCAGCTGCACAACAAGTTCACCATCCTTCATTGTTGGGGGTATATAGGTGAGATTCATACCTTGACCTTCCTTTTCATTATCCACAGAAATAGCCCTCTGTTCCTTGCTTTAGCTTGCATGTACTGTTCCATTGGATTTTGCCTTACTCGAGCTGGGTTTCTCACTCACAACCCTCATTTTGTTATTTCATTTGCTCATGTTCTCCGTCAGTGTCAATTTCCTGCTAGAATTCACTGGTGTTGCTGCTTGATTCCGATACTTGTCCAGATCTGGTCAGTTATCGTCACTATCATTTTCCTACTCTGTCTCCTCCTCATGTATTTGATCTTTGGCTTTGGCCCTACCTTTCACTTGTTCACTCGATCTAGTCATCATAATCTTCTGATCTAGTACTGGCGTTTTGGTGGTATTCTTCCTCGGCCATCCTCTTCCTTCCATTTTCGATGAAGGCACATGTTTGTCAGTCACATAATGTGCACCGAGAAAAAAAGTCTTTTTTGCAAACCGGACTTTGTGTTATTTTGTTGTGATCAAGTAATTATAAATAAATATTTATGTTAAACACTTATTGAACAATGAAAACTAACTTGTCATGATATGTTAAAATACATTGACTATGTAATAAAATATTTGCCTTGTTCGTATATATAATTTAGGGATCTTTACACATTTGGTTAGTGAGATAATGAAATATATTATGGGCTCCTCCTCTTCTCCTTAAGGATTTAAGGCAAACTTGGTAGGGGTCAACCCCATACTTGGTCTCCCATGTTTGGTACAATTTTTGATTTCGGGTTTAGTAATATTAGGATTGCTTATGCTACAACTTTGATATTATTTTTTAATTTCGGAATTACTTATATCGAGATAAAACAATAAGATAACACATTTGCCCCTCTCCAAAACTATTTCCCAATTTTTCTTTTTTAAGAAGGTCAAGGTTAAGCTGATTTAAATTCACCTCGCAAAGGATGCATAAAAAAAATCACTCGCTACCATTTTGTTTTTCTACTTCCATCTTCTTCTATCTTCATTCTGAAACCGCACCTCTATATGCTATATATCTCTTTCCTATTCTCCGGATTAAGATGATGTGTGCATTGACCCATGATGCACTACGTACTGTTTTAGATTATGTCTTCATACATTTTCAAGCTGGCCATTTAAATTTCAAACATGTGTTCCAAAGGAGAGAGTGATAATGCTATCTTATTTTGTCAATTAAAGTATGCTTAAGAGCAAAATATTACAAAATCAATTAAAAGATTCTTAATTTGAGAAAGTCTACCCTATCAAATCTGAGTGAAATATGTTAACGAAACGAATTGTTTTGGTTTCTAAACCTTGATTTTGTCAGAGATTTTATCTGACCAGCTACTCAAAAACCTATTTGTTTGTTGCTTTAAAGGAAATGTACATCTTGGTTTCTTATGCTAGGTCATTTACATATATTACATTCAAATAAAAAGGTGATGTACATCAAAATACCTACTTTTCCTAACGAAAAACTACTGTGCTACTTATATTTGGCTAATTTATCTTCTTCTAATTGATTGTCCTCCTTATAAACAGTATTTATGCTTGACTTACCATGTGTGTGGCATAGGTATTTGCGGAGTTCAGAACCAAAATGTGGTTCTTTGGGACTTAAAGAACAAAAATATATGGAAAAAAAGATAGTGACCAAAATATGTATAACGTCTTTTTAAAAGACGCTATATTTAAATTAAGTAAAGTGGGAAAGTATAGCGTCTTAACAAAAGATTCTATATATATAGCGTCTTTACAAAAGACGCTATACATATAATATAGATCGTCTCCTTCCCCCTCCCCCAGAACAGAATCCCCCCCCCATTTTTGATCAAAAAAAGCTCGAGTGGAGCCCACCGGTCCCACAAAAAGTGTAGATTCTCGGTCCCACGTGCTAGCTAAGGTGTTATCTCGGACATTGTTGCTTGTTTCGGCTTCAAATCACAAAATCTTCAACTTTCTAAAAACCTTAAATCTAGGTATTCCGATTTAGTTTTTGTTAAAACTTATATAAAAATGCGTATTAGTTTGTTTTTTTATGTGCTCTATGTTACTTTGTAATTGTTTTTCTATTTAACTAATTTGTTATTTTTTATCCGGATTATAGTATTAATGGGCTAAAAAAAATCGTAAAATAGAGAGAATGTTATTACTTGTTAAAAAAATTATTAATTAGTTACTTTTTACTGTGGTATATGTATTTTCATGATTGTTTTGTGATTAAAATGACTTGATATTTTTATCTAGTTTAGATTATTTATTTGCTAAAAGACTAGTAAACTAGATAAATTGTTACTTTAGTTCGCTATAGTAATATCTTGTGGCCTAATGTAATGCTCGTATTTGTAATGTAGTGACCTATTAGCGTAGTAAAACGTAGTGCCCTTTAGCGTAGTGTCCTTGTAGTTATAAAATTTAATCATTTAAGTATCTCGTATCCCTAAAAATACGTCAAAAAGCTGATAGTTCAAACAAACTATGTCTAATTATAGTTAACAAACGTAAGAACATAAGAATTTAGGATAAATTAGTGCTACTGAGCCTCATATATTGTGTCCGAAACCAAAATGTGAATACTTAATAATTAAATCTTGTATAGTTATCAAAATTAATTATTTAATTTTAGTATAGTAAAAAATAAGCCAGTAACAAACAAACAAACATATAAAATAATAAAACTAACTCATTAAATAATCAAACTAACATATACAATAATAAACTAACATATAAAATAACAAACCTGTTGAGTGATAAGTCCGAAAAAATTTCTCATCATGAACATAAGAATTCAGGATACATTTGGTGCTACTGGGCCTCAAATATTGTGTCCGGAACCAAAATATAAAATGTAATAATTAAATCCTATACGTTTACAAAAACTAATTATTTAATTTTATTATAGTAAAAAATAGATGAATAACTAACAAACATATAAAACAATAAAACTAACATATTAAATAATAAAATTAACATATTAAAGTAACATATAAAATATAAAATTATAATATTGAAAATGTATCAACCTAATTAATAATATAGTAAAAATATCGAATAAAATTTAATATTAAAGGTATTGCAATATATTTAAGCAATGAAAAAGAAAAATAATGTAAATAATTTTGTTCAATTTTACACTAGTCGTCATGGAGGTTCCACCTTTGCATCCTGGACCTGCCTCGCTAGAGCTACTAATGCTACAAGCCGAGCATAGGTCTTCCTGCATATGGGAGGGGCAGTTATTGGCCCAGACGTTCCGTGCTAGGAGAGTAGACGATATGTGGGACTTTCTTAAGACCCGTCATCTCTATCCCCGTATAGTCAGACGCCTGCAGGATATGGGTTTCTATAGGATTATTGAAATCGGCCGGCTGCAGCTGGATT